CACTTAGGCTCAAGCAATCCTCTCATCTCAGCCTCCCAGAGTGCTGGGATTACAGGCATGAGCCACTGTGCCCGCCACAGATGTTATTTTAATAGTTCTTTCTTCTTTTCACCACCTCTCTCAAAGTTCACATAATTGGCATGTTAAGTGGGCATTCTCTACTGCAAGGTGGCTGGTTCACATCTCATGTTGCCTTCAGAGAATGACTGGTAACAGTAATAATGTTAATAACAGTGAATACTTGGATGTACAGAGAAATGCTTAGTTTGTACCATTTAGACCTATCTTCAATTTGATACTTAATGAGAAATCCCTAGGTATTAGATGAACTCCATATTACTATATAGCAAATTGGTGATTTTCAACCTAATTTCTTTTAAAAAATGTCCCAGGTAATCTATTCTAATTTTTAAAATGTGTCTACCTTGGACAACAGTAAACTCTATTGTGATTGTGATTGGGGGCTTAAATCAAGAACCTAACGGTGCCACACAGGGTTCATCTTCTTATTTGGGTGCCAGGCAACCTTAATGATTATCAATTCACAGCATGCTACCTAGCAACAAAGCCATTTTGCACAAAAGCAATCAGAGTGAGATCATGTTTCAGGACAGTATTTCTCAATTAGAGAAAGGGAAAGCTGCAAACATCTGATTTAGAGCCAACATACTCCTTATTAGTCTCCTGTTGCACTACTTGGTTGCCTTAATGTGCAGCTTCATTAAAATGTGAGTTCAAGGGAGGTAGCATCCTTCGTAGAATCTTTAGAGTAAACACTTGTCAAGAGTCAGGTCATTACAGTGATTCCCTTAATATGGCCTAGAGAGGACAAGAATAGTCAAGAGAGGAACTTTGTCAGACCTTTTCGTCAATACGATGTTATTATGTAGTTATTGTTACCACTTAGAATTCTAGTGTACACCAGGAAACTCAGGCTGGAGACAGATTTATTTGATAGTAATAAGATCATGGAGGGCATAAGTGCAGGGAGAGAGAGGAGAGACAAAGGATTGAGCCCTGGACACTCCAACATGAAGAGTTTGAAGAGATGAGAAAGAACCAGCCAAGAAGTCAAGACAGAGAAGCCAGGAGGGAAGGAGAATGATAAGGGAGTGGAGTTAAACACAGTTCCACCAAAGACGAGGGAGTGATCAGTGCATCAAGTGCTGTTTAGGCTCAAGTAAAATTAAGGCTTAGTACACGGATTTAGTACATGGTACTTCAGTCACCTCCAGAAGAGTGATTTTAGTAGTGTGATGGGAGTCAGCTAAAGAGAGAATGGGAGAAGAGGAGGAACTGATAACAGCACATCTTCCCAAGAGCTTTGCTGCCAAAGGAAGCAAAAAAAAAAAAAAAAAAACAAACAAACCAAAACATCAAGAAGGAAACGTGAGGTCCCGAGAAGACTTCTTCAAAGATAGGACTCAGAGCAGCATATCTGTGCACTGATGAGAATGACCCAATAGAGAACGAATGATTGGAGTGAACTAGACAGCAGGTGGCTTGCTAGAACACTGTGCTATATACAGGACAGGGGAAGGGATCTCGACAAAAGATGAAAGAGCAGCTCTCCACAGCCGGTCACTTAAGATAGCAGGAGGCAAAGAAGAGTATTTGGGTGCTTCTATTTGGCGCCAATGTTTTCAGGTCAGTAGGGCATGGAAAGAAGTGATGATGATGATTTACCATAGGCTTTAACCTTGGAAAAGAAGGCAGGAAGGACCTCAAGGGCATGAGGTACAGTAAAAAATTGAGTTTTGTGGAGTTAAGTGATTGCTGGAGGTAGGGATTAGCTGGAAAAACAGATGTGGTCAGTAGAGTGTGCATGGGATTGAGACTCTGGAGAAGCTGTGGTTGCTGGAAACAACAAGGTCTATGGTGTACCTTGGCTGTGAGTGAATGGGATCAGTGGGAGTGAAGGGAGGATATGCTACATCAAATATTAAAATCCCCAAGAATAAAGATAAGAGTAGAACTGGAGAAAGGTACAGTGCACAGGGCAGATTTGGGGATTGGTGGATGACAGCAACAAGAGTAAGACATGATATACTCTGATGACTTGAGATTTAAGGGTAGAGATTTTAGGGGACATAGGGTAATTTGAACTCTATCTTGGGTTTCCCAAATATAATGCGATTCTAATAGCAGGAAGACCTTCAACTGGGAAGTTGTGTGAATTATATTATTTTAAACACACAAAGTACTTAAGACAGTACCTGGCATATGTACTAATAAATGACATACATGTCTAATAAATGTTAAATATGATTATCCAGGCTTGGAGTTAACACTTAAAACTATAAAAACTTTAAAAATGACCGGAATTCCCTCTGTGAGAAAGAGTTCATGAAATAAATGAATGACTTTTTCAAAATCATAGCTTCTACTGTATTACTATAGTGTGAATAGATGATACTACTTCAAGTCCGACCTCCCTAAAAACAACAACTTACAGTCTCCTGTGAGCTCCCCATAGCACTCTGTTTATATTTCTTCTGTAACATTTTCTCATTGTGTCCTAATTGAATATATACATATATTTTCTCCACACATTTCTGATCTGGAGAAGAATTTTGTTGCTCTTTGATGCTCCCCTCCCTGATATACACAATATGCACCCAGTACCTATGATGCTATGGACCACTTTGTGAAATCTTGCAAGAGTATGTAAGATACACATGAATGAAACAAACCCATTCTCATTCCCTCTATGCCATCATTATTACTCATTACTCTTGGTTCTAGAAATTAAAAAAAAAAAAGATGGGGGTAAATTTGACCATAAAATATACTGGTAAGTTAAAATTCAAAATGCATCAAAAACAAAACAAAACGGGCTTCCATCAAAAGCAGAACCAAAAGTACAGGGTGGAATAGATTGTTCCATTTAATGTTAACCCATTGCATAAGAGATGAGGGAAAGCAAGCCTTAGTCTCTTTGCATGAATTCCATCATTGAGGCACGGTACCTTTTGCTTGCATGGTGGCTGTCACCTGTGTAGTGAAGGTGCAGCGAAGGACTGTGCAGGTCAGGGACAAGGTGGCACAAGACCAAAACCACTCCTGAAGAGCAATGTCAGGCGTATAAAAATGCGGTGAGGCAGCACTGGGGACCACCCAAGAGGATGCTGTAGGCATCCTGAGCAGTGCCGACAGAAGAAGCAAAGAAAGGAGAGATTTGGGGGCCAGCACAGAAATGTAACCAGAGCATGCACGTTTGAGAAAATTTGACATTTTACTGTCTTGTTTTCTTGTCTATTTGTTTTCTCTGCTGACTGATGTCTGGTTAATGTGTTTACATGGGGCCTGATAGCTCTGCCTCCTCAGCTGTTTTGGAATCATCCAGCTGGGACAGTATTGGTAGATTGCAGTCACCTGATGAAACTGAGACTTTCATCCTCTTCCTTCCAGCTGGGTGTTGTCAACAGTGGGAACCCCTGAAAAGCAAAGATATAAATTATTACCATAAATTTAGGTTAAGATTTAACCAGCAGAAAAATAATAAAATAATAATAGACAAATACATTAATAATAAAAATATAAATAAATAAAATAAAATAATAATAAAAAAATAGGACTTGGACTAAGCATTAAGGGACAGCCTGAAAACTAAACACTAAGAAGTTGGCTTGAGCTCTTTCTAGGTCAGGATGAGAAGTATATAAATAATGGAACAGACATGAAAAATTTACTTAGTCATCACATAGATAATGGGATTCACTCAATTCTCTGCTTAGGATTCTGGAACATCCCAGGACCCAAATGTTCTTGAAGTTCAAGTGTATGGAACCCTTCTAATCCTCCTCTGCCTGTCTAGCCTCCTTTGCTCTGGCTGCAGAATGGCACCCTCCCTTTAGCTGATGGCTATTAGGATGTCACAATCATGCCTGTAGTTCAGCAGAGGATCTCCACATTGGTTTCGGTGGTCAAGGGAAAGTTTCAGGAAGGCATTGTTAAAACTGGGTCTCTAACAATGAGCAAGGTTTAAGTAGGTGTGGGAAGTATTCCTGGGAAGTTAACAGGGGTATGTGGTGAGTGGAAGTTATCTGCGAGAAGAGAGAATGAATCCAGGGAAGGTGGGTGAAGCTTCACATGGGGACCACATTGTGCTAGGTGTTTGAGATCTGAAACTCTCAAGACAGAAAGGTCCCCACAAGAGACCAAGAGACTTAATTATTCTTTTTTTTTTTTTTTGACTTGGAGTCTCACTCTGTCACCCAGACTGGAGTGCAGTGGTACACTCCCGGCCACTGCAGACTCGACATGCTGGACTCCCGCAATCATTCCGCCTTAGCCTTCCAAGTAGCCAGAACTACAGGCATGCACTACCACGCCCGACTAATTTTTGATTTATTGTAGAAATGAGGTCTTGCCAAGTTGCCCAGGCCGGTCATGAACCCGCGGGCTCAGGCAGTCCACTCACTTCGGCCTCCCAAAGTGCTGGGATTACAGCCGAGACTTATTCTTACATTAAAGCAACTGATAGTTTCTGCTTGGCCTGTGACATTTCATTGAAACTTTGTAGTTAGTCAGGAAAGTGGAGTAATATGAATTTAGTATGTGCTGGGCCAGAGTTAAAGGGCTCCTCTATCGAGCACTGAAGCTGGGCCTGCTTGACAGCTCCCCACCCTGACTCAGCGACCATTCCGCTGTACTCCATTCTGTCTCCAGGGATGCGGGGCCCTCTTTGACTAGAAGCGTGAGTGAAATGAGAGAAATGCTTCTCCAAAGAGGAGGCCACCGAAGCATTTTCCAAGCACAATACTTGGCAAATATGCTGACTTGCACCATGCTTAATCTGGTGAGGTTCCATCTGAACTTCCAGAAGGGCCATGCTGCTTTGTCCACATCCGTGTGCATGTGTACTAGCCAAGCCTCATTGATGTACCTGTGGTTTATGAAGATCTCATCCACTGTTAAGTCATTATTTATGGAGTGAAAGTCAAAGCAAAGCTTGACGGCATTTGGGGAGAAGAGTGAGGGCTGTTTTCTCATTTCAGAACTCTTCAGGATGTGGAGTTAACTGAGCATCAGCACAAACAGATCCGAGCCCTGTCTGGAGGCATGAAGAGGAAGCTGTCTGTGGGCATTGCTTTCCTGGGCACGTCGAGGACTGTGGTTCTGGATGAGCCTACCAGTGGTGTGGACCCTTGCTCCCGCCGCAGCCTCTGGGACATTCTGCTCAAGTACCGAGAAGGTAGGAGCTGCACATCATCTCACTTTCTCTTCCCACAATGCTGCAGTGTAGGAAAAGGTTTGCTGTCATATGTGTAGAACCAAGTCATATGCCAATAAAGATACTTTATTCTTTTCGTAAAAAATAAATTTTATTTTTATTTATTTATTTTATTTTTTATTTTTTTTGAGTTGGTGTCTCACTTCATCACCCAGGCTGGAGTGCAGTGGCACGCACATGGCCACCCCAGCATTGACCTGCTGGACTCTGGTCATCCTTCTGCCTCAGACTTCCAAGTAACCGGAACTACAGGTGTATGCTACCACACCCAGCTAATTTTTGATTTACTGTAGAGACGAGGTCTCGTCAAGTTGCCTGGGCTGGTCTCGAACCCATGGGCTCAGGCAAATCCATTTGCCTCGACCTCCCAAAGTGCTGAGATTACCAGCTGAGCCACCAAGCCCTCCCCCCAAAATTAATTTTTATGAAAGTTTATAGAGATATATTCATTAGATAACATCTCTATAGTGTCCAGAATTGTTTACTTTGTATTTGATCTCTTTTTTTTTTTTTGAGTTGGAGTCTCACTCTGTCGCCCAGACTGGAGTTCAGTGGCCGCTCCCGGCCACCACAGCCTCGACCTGCTGGGCTCCGGCGAGCCTTCCGCCTCAGCCTTCTAAGTAGCCAGAATTATAGGCATGCGCTACCACGCCCAGCTGATTTTTTGATTTATTGTAGAGATGAGGTCTCGCCTGCCCAGGTGGGTCTCGAACCCGCGGGCTCAGGCAATCCACTCACCTCAGCCTCCCAAAGGCGCGGGATTACAGGCTGAGCCACCGAGCCCGGCTTGTATTTGATCTCTTAACTCACCGTTAGCAATGACATCATCAATGTACATTATTATATATGATTTCAGTTGAAATTGTATTCATCTGAAAACAAGGATTATTAGAAGGGGCAACCCAGAAATCTTCTAGGACAAGCCCACCTTTTCTCAGATGAGAAAACTGAGGTTCAAGGAAATGGGCATGTGGCTTGCTCATAGCTACAGAGAGTTTACTAACCAAGGGTAGAGCCTGAACCTTCGTTCACATGTCTCACCTCTATTATTGCTTGTTTCCACTTTAGGGCATTTGATGGGCAGTTACTAATTTATAACTCCTGGTTCTTTCTGCAATCCTGAAAGCTAGGAAGTGTTGCTATATGTGTTGTGTAGGAAAACACTCTTGTTTGAAAGAAACATTTGCATGGGTGGAACACATCTTGGGGCTAGTAAACAAGCGTGGAAACATCAGTGGCAAGATTACTACAAGATCTTTAGCTTTTTGAGTATAAGTCCTTCTTCTGACTTGACCTGAAGCCTCCATCTCCCTGAGGGTCGTTTAGGATTTGTTACTGAAGAAATGCAAAAAGATAGAACCCCTTACTCTCTTTAGCACACAGAGGGCTGAGTCCAGAAGACTCAGATCATCAAATTCTTTCTTTGGTGTAGAAAAGATGCCAGTCTCACTTTAGTCTGAGCCAATAGGCTGGTAAGGATAATACAAAGGGAGCGTAAAGGGATAATCCTCTTCCTTTCTATTCTGCAATTTTGGAGGAATTGTGGAAGGAGAGGATAGAGAAGGAAGCAGAACAACTGAACAAACAGATACAGCTTTTTGTTCCATTCTGGGCTTTGGCCTGGGCTGAGCGATTGTTCAAGAAACGTGAGGGTCACGTCGATGGTACTGGCTCCTCAGTCCTGGTGCAGTTACATCAGGGTTCCTGAGGCTGAGCAGAATGGCAGGACCCGAGGGAGGGTGGGGGATGAGGGCTGGTATTTCTGTACTTGTCCAGACCCATGGGTTTCGACGCTGAAAGACAGATAGGGCCTGCTAAGAATGCTGCCATGGAAGGAAGAAGGCGCCCCTGGAAACTAGCTGGCTGAGACCCAGGGTAGAAATTAAGGGGTCTGTACCCAGCAGGATCTGCAACAAGACCTAGACAGCCAGGGAGCACTCTGCTCTGACCTGATCCCTTGAGCTGTCCCTGCCCAAGCTACAAATGCCAAAATGGGGAGGATGCCAACACCAGGTGGTCTCGGTCTCACTCAGAGATCAGAGGAGACTGACCACATTGCACCCAATGATCCTTAATCTTTTCTCAGTGTCACGAGAGATCACCAGGCTTCCTTGCTCCATTTACCTAAGCATTCCTTGGGGGAAGACATAGAAGGGACAGAAATGAGACACTGAAAGTCACTTTAAGGGGCAGATTAAATTTTGAGATGAAACCAATTTAAACTGGACTAAGTAATCTACCTGCCACCCCTAGTGAGGAGCTGATGAAGAAGATGCACGAGAGATAGACAAACAGATTGCAGTGTCCCTGCACCTGTTAATTGCGATGTGAATTAAATACTGCCAGCCTACTATACTTTTATCTTAAAAATCAGAGATGGAGTCTCAAAGGTTCACCTGACTGAACATTTGGGCAACAAGCATAAAGGTTACTTTAGTCAGAAAAACAGATACAGTGAAATTCTCAGAAGCTGGCAGCTTTCTTCAGTTTCTGTTGTTATAAAGTAAATATTTTCTCACTGTTCTCCATTGTTGAGCAATTTTTTTTGTCGTTAGAGGACTCCTTTGGAGTTGTCCCTGCACTGATTGAAGTGCAAAATCAACGGGATGTAAGTGATTAGATAGGAGATATTGGAAGAAAAATATGTTTTCAAGAATCAAAATGTATAGCCATTCCTGGAAGCAGCCCCAGCTCTCCAGGTAACAGATACAGCTCTGTGAGATAGATCTAAGGGCTTTGCAAAAAACAAATGTTCCCTGCTGAGTAGAAAGAGATCTTCTGTCAGAACACTAGTGCACCAGGGCTCTGTCTACCTGGAATTGTGTGCGTGTTTCTTGCTTAGTGATGTACAGTGTGGGCTCTTGATCGGCCCTTGTCCCAGTACTTCTGTGCCTCCTGGAGAAAAGTAAATAAGGAAGCAAAAGATACCTAAGCAAATTGACTAGCTCTACTGTTCCTGGGTGACCTTGGAGAAATGATCGAATTCCTCTGAGCTTCAGGGTTCTCATTTGCAAATGGAGGCATTTGTACTACCTCATATCAATTTGCAAGAGGTAAATGAATTGCCTGTGAAGGTGCATAGCTGAGTATCTGGCATGTGGGTGCCCAATCAGTGACAGGCTGTTATGGTTGTTATTAAAATAGACAAAAGGGGTGAATGTGGGAAGTACAATTTTTAGAGGAAAGGGGTTAGAATATAACATCCGAACCAAAGAGAGAAACTGTCAGTGTCTTAAGGAAAATAGTCATATTGCTCTTCAATTGTCTTGAGTTTCCTTAACATCCACTAAGAAGCCATTGTGGATCCATCATCTGTTAACTTAATCTAAACTATTTGGAAGTTTACTTATTTATGTGTTTTCCCAGCTTTGCTTAGGTATAATTGACAAATAAAAACTTCATATGTTTATGGTGTACAGAGTGATGTTTTGATATACAATTGGCCCTCCCTATCTGTGGGTTCTGTGTCTGTAGATTCAACCAGCCTCCTCGGATCATAGATATTGGGGGAGAAAAAATAAGAAAAGACAATATAGCAATAAAAATAATACAAATACAAACAATACAGCTATTAACATAGCATTTACATTGTATTAGGTATCGTAAGCATTCTAGAGAGGAATGAAAGTACTTGGGAGGATGTATAGAGGTTTTATGCAAATACTATGCCATTTTGTATCAGGGACTCATGCATCCTGATTTTAGTATCCTTGGGGGTCCTGGAACCAATGCCCCACAGATACTGAGGGACAAATGTATGCATACATTGTGGAATGATTAAATCAAGCAAAATAACATACCTATCACCTCACATGCTTATCCTTAAAAAAAAAAAATCATATATAGCGAGACAGGGTCTTACTCTGTCACCCAGGCTAGAGTGTAGTCATGGGATCATAGCTCACTTCAGTCTAAACTCTTGGATTCAGGCTTCCCTCTTCAGCTTCCTGAGTAGCTGGGACTAGAGGCACACACTACCATTCTAGCCAATTTTTAAAATTTTTCATGTGGATGGAGTCTCATTATATTGCTATTCTCAAACTCATGGCCTCAACCTTTCCAAAGCCTTGTTCTTTCTCCCTATCTCTCTCACTCTAACCTTCTCTCCTTCTCTCTTTCTCTCTCCCACCCCCTCTCTCCCTCTCTCTCATATAAGAGCATTTAAGATTCAATCTACGAGCAATATCCAAATATACAAAGCATTACTACTAACTATAGATGCCTTGCTGTCCAATAGATTTCTAGGGCTTATTCATCTTGCATAATTAAAACTTTGTCTAACCAACATCTCCTCATTCCTCCCTTGTTCCTTGGCTACTGGTAACCACCACTCTATTCTTTGCTTCTCTTTTGGGAATTTAGATTCCAGCTGACTTTTATTTTTAGACTACTTCCTTATATGGGAACATGTTATCTGAACTGTATAGTAGCTCTGATCAGCGTTTCTAAACTGCCTTTAATATTAGATCAGGAATTGAATACATTTTCTTTGTCTCATAGGACAGATGTGCAAGGAGTGTGACCTTGGTCTTTGGGACATATCTATGGCAATGACTAGCTCCTGTGGAATCCCCAGTCTCTACTGCTCTTGGGTCTATTCCATGGTTTCTCTCTAGATGCATTTTTAAAGAATGAATTGAAAGTTCTAGTCTTTTAATTCATCTCCTCTATTATTATTTTAATTTTTTTGGTTTCTAATTGACACATAATTGTCCCTATGTATGGGGTACAGTGTGATGTTTTGATACATGTATACACTGTGTAATGATCAAATCAGGGCAATTAGCAAACCCATCACCTCAAATATTTAACTGAATAGAGTTAAAATCATGTTCAACATTCTTTCTTTGAAAATTTACTTTTGCAATGAGAGTCAATCAATGCGTTTATTTCTACTCAATAAATAGGTTGAATAGGGCTCAGTGTAAGACTATTGGAGGTGTAGAAGCTAAAAGCAGTAACACCTTTTGTTTATATAACTGAAATAAACTTTACCAGAATATCTTTTAGCTTCTCTGGCCTCTGCTTTCCTAAGATAAATCTGAGGCTTTCTTCCCCCAAGCAAAGTCATAATACTTGACAAAAGGCTCGAATCCATAGAGGACACATATGAGTTTAACATTCATGTCTGCAAAAAGTGGCCATGTCCACTGGATTCAGGGAAGTCCCTCCTCTTGGGAAGTCCCTAATTCCCTCTCCACCCTGCATTCCTTATCACCTCTCACCCACAATATACTCTCTGTGGGTTGTGGCTGCTCTGAGCTTTTTCAGGGCGGTCGTGTGTGTTCTGATCCTGCTACATTTAATGAATGAACGCACGTGGTTATATCATCCCCGATTCCAACGAGTATCGATATACACTATGGCCATTTCAGGCAACTTATTTTATGATTAACTTCTGCCTTAACATGGGGTTGTGATTTTCTGATAAAATAGCAGTTTCCATTGAATACAGCCTTCTCCCTAAGTACGTGAGAGACTGTCAACCAAAGAGAAAGGAGGAGGATTTCAGTATCAGAGGAGAGAGAGAGCCCCATCCAGCTTCTATTATATTTTAAACATTTCATCTCTACGTCCATTCAGTGATCTGCCTCTGAGTCTCAGAGGACAAGGTGGCTGTGCCCAAGGACTCTGTTTTGTTCCTCAGTGTCATCCATCATGCCTGTTGGAGCGCACTGTCTTTGGTTCATGAGGGGAGTAGACTTGTAGACACAACTATAGAAGAAAAAGTTTCAGGGCCTATATTTTGCAGAGTGTCCTTGGCTAAGTTGCTTCTGCAGGATCCATTTGAATTTTTTTCAACTTAAACCTTGGTGAAAGACCTTTAAGTTGTGTCCTGGATCTGTCATTCCAAAGAAAGTCTGGCTGGTCCTTCTCGGGCCTTTGTCTCGCTGGTCCTGATGTACCCTGTGCTTGGACCCAGGTCGTACAATCATCTTCACAACCCACCACCTGGATGAAGCAGAAGTGCTCAGTGACCGCGTGGCTGTCCTCCAGCAGGGGAGGCTCAGGTGCTGTGGTCCTCCCTTCTGCTTGAAGGAGGCATATGGCCAGGGACTCAGCCTGATACTCACAAAACAGGTAAGTACAACCATGTTGTTTCACTGGGGAAGTCCCATTCCTGTCTATGGCATAAGAAGCAAACTGTGACAGGTAAACAATAACAACATCCTGGCGGAGGCCTTCTGTGTACAATGGCCCAGATGGACAAACTAAGCCTCTGCTGGGCTGAGCCAGGGAGCTAGCCTCTGGAAGTCCAAGGGTGCATTTTGACGGCCAGGATGAAATACATGAGGGGTCACAGGAGTTGCTGTGAATGTCTGGGGCAGGGATAATCATGACCTAGGTATTTTAGAAATATTTTTCTGACAATGATGCTTCTTTTAGAAGGATAGAATTCTGCCTTAATGCAGAAGCAGAGTAGTGAGAGGATACAGAAAGGGATCTGACCTGAGAGGCCAAATCGATGTCACATCTGTAGTTTTCATTGCCTGTGTCTACTGGAGGCAGGCAGCAGTGACCGTGGGATTGAGACTCAGAGGGTGTGTGGGAAGCCACCTTCCACTCTTGATGACCGTATCTGACTCCTGATGACCCTCAAAACGTCTGTTCTTGATGTTCCCACCAAGGTTTCTATTTGCTTCCTCTCTAATTCAGAGTGACTATCACATTGTCCTGTGATAGCTCCTTTCCTCCACACTTGAGAAGCCTTTTCTTCCCTTTAAGAACACTCAACCCTGTTTTCTGTAGTCCAGTGCTAGGCCCTGGGTCTCCTTTGTGATTCTCCCAGGGAGTGGAAGGACTGTCATGAGTACAGACTCCTAGAAGTGGGCAACAGCATGCCCACTAGTCAAAGAGTCAGGATGCGCATGTGAGTGTGGCCACACCACGTTCAGCCCCGTAGATTTGCATTAAAAAAAGAAAAGGATACAATGTGTTTTTGAAATTTCTATTGCTTAAATGTGATATTTTATATAAGCTTTGAAGTGGAATTTTGAAATAAGTTGTTTATAGATATACATGAAACTAATTCATATTGTTGGATTGACATTTATTATTATTATTGTTATTATTATTATTATTTTCTAGAGACAGGATGTTGCTCTGTAGCCCAGACTAGGGTGTAGTGACACGATCATAGCTCCCTGCAGCCTTGAACTTCTAGGCTCAAGCAATTCTTCCACCTCAGTCTCTCAAGTAGCTGGGACTATGGGTATGTGCCACCACACCCAGCTGATTTTTTTTTTTTTTTTGGATTTGGAGCTAGAATGGCCAAATTAATTAATTAACTAATTAATTTTTTGTAGAGATGGAGTATTGCCATGTTGCCCAAGCTGGTCTTGAACTTCTGGGCTCAAGCAATCTCCCGGCATTGGCCTCCTGAGTAGCTGGGACTACAGGCATGCACCACTGTATCTGGCTAATTTTTATTTTTAGAGATAGGATCTCGCTATGTTGCCTAGGTTGGTCTCAAGCTCCTAGCCTCAAGCAATCCTCCTGCCTCAGCCTCTTGGGTACTTGGGATTAGTCATGGTCAGCATTTCTTACTTGTTTCTCTCTCTCTCTCTCTCTTTGATAGCCTTTAGTTCATGATCCAAAGGACGTGGTTTGTATTACATCTCTGATACAGATCTATATCCCACAAGCATTTCTCAAAAACTGCCGTGGGGGTGAGCTGACCTACACCATTCCAAGGGATGTGGACCGGACCTGCTTCAAAGGGCTCTTCCAGGCCTTGGATCAGAACCTGCATCAGTTGCACCTGACGGGCTATGGGATCTCAGACACTACCTTAGAAGAGGTACTGAGAAAGGCTGAAGTATGTTATATTTTGTGGGCATTCTCCATTCAATGAAGACATGTGGGTAAAGGGGAGGAGATGAAGAACACCGTGCATTACTTACTCCTGAGTTCTGATCAGTTCCGGGCACAGTGGAAGGCAAGAGCTGAATTTAACACACTGGGTAGGTGACTATTGTTATTCAAGGGAAAATGGCATTCTTGTATTTGAGAGTTTTAGTGTCTTTAATCCAGGATCTTCAGGTGGCCAAACAATTGTCAGTAGACGATGATTGCTGGTCCTAGTTCCTCAAGTGGAAGTGTTCTCCTCTTTGCTGTGGCCTTCTGTCTGGGAGCTTCTGGCCCTGTGCTGTGTAACTGTGATACGAGAGGTTTCAGCATGCAAACACTACTGACTCATGGTTAGGTTCCACCCCCCATTTACCTGAAACTGAGTTGGATCAGACCAACCACTCCATGTGGGTTCTTCATAGTGTGAGAGCAACAAGAGTCAGAATCAGGAATTTCCTCCAGGAGAAAGTTGCTCCTGCCAACCTGAGGAGAGCCTTGTTTAGGGTTCTTGAGGTTGGCTGTGTGTGTGAGCCGTATTTGAGTCTCAATTTGACTTTGATATTATTTATATAAAGTGCTGCAAATTTTTTAAAAAATCAAGTGCTACAAATTAAAATTTCTAAAAATCCCCCCAAAATTTTTAGACTGGTTTCTCTGAATTACCCAGGAATAGTCACAGTGCCTAATCAGTTTTTAAATTAGTAGTTGACATTTAACATCTGAAACAATATTTTTAAATAACCATGAGCATTAAAATGTTGTAACTTAGCCGGGCTCGGTGGCTCAGCCTGTAATCCCGTGCCTTGGGAGGCTGAGGTGTGTGGATTGCCTGAGCCCGCGGGTTCGAGACCCACCTGGGCAACTTGGCAAGACCTCCTCTCTACAATAAATAAAAAAAAAAATCAGCCGGGCATAGTAGCATGTGTCTGTAGTTCCAGCTGCTTGGAAGGCTAAGGTGGAAGGATCGCCGGAGCCCAGCAGGTCGAGGCTGCGGTGGCTGGGAGTGGCTACTGCACTCCAGTCTGGGCGACAGAGTGAGACTCCAACTCAAAAAAAAAAAAAATGTTGTGACTTTTAGAAAATCAAAGACTGGGTCAGGCATGGTGTCTCATGCCTGTAATCCTAGCACATTGGGAGACCAAGGCAGGAGGCTCACTTGAGGCCAGGAGTTCGGCAAAGTCAAAGTCTGAACATTCAGCTGTATTTTGGGATGGACTTGGGGGCTAAAGGTGTATCACTGGGTTAGTGACTCTGGAGAAAAGGCAACCCTTTGTGTGATAAATTGGGGTAGTCCCAAGAAGATAGCAACCATTCCAACTTCTGTCCAAAACAAAGTTTTAAAAGATTGAAAAACATAAAATAATTATAATATTATAAAGGGCTTTGATATGCAGGATGTATTTGGTTCTTTCCAAAATCTCTAGCTTATTATTCCTTTTTTTAAGGATGAGGCTGAGACTCAGCTAGGCTAATTTATTTAACCCAAATCACAAAGTTCATCCATGGTGGCCATATACTTGGACCTAAGTTTTCTGATTTAGAGAATGTCAGTTCTCTAAACGTGCCTGTGCCTTTGTGGGTGATGCGCTGCATTCCGTGAGCCATCAGGGCCGGAGTACGTCAGGTCTACTTTCTCCACCATGATCTTTTTAATAAAGCAAGTTGCAGTACATAGTGTAAACACAACGCAGTCTAATGTACACACATGATGGGTATGAGCTGCTCCCTTAAGCCAAAGAACAGAGCATCATGGCATCTTCTCTTGCCTGTCTCCTGCATTTGTTCTTCAAGACTTGACACAAATATTGCCTGTGCAGTGGATTATCAGACTCCTTAGCTTCAGTTCCTCTCCCTCCCTCCCTCTGACTTTACAGTATATATAATATACATTATATATAATATTTCTTCTTGATACTTCTCCCAACCTGTTCTGCATGTGTCTGTCTCTTCCATGGAAGTTGATATCCACACATGCTTGTATCTTCCCTGCTCCTCTCCAAACCAGCAGTGTCAGGGGCAGTTGCCGGCACAGTGGTTGCTTAGTACATATTTTCTGAATAAACAATGGGCAGTACATTCCCAAAGTTTGGTGGAGCTTCTGGGAGTAGCATAACGTGGAAAGTGTGTGAGCTGTGCCCCAGACAGTTCTAAATTCAAATCTTTTTCTTTCCTGAGCTCTGTGTCTTGAGTAAATCACACAGCTCTTGTGAGCCTCAGCTTATGAAAATCTTCATCTCATTTTTATTAAAAAAAATTTTGGGGGTGGACAGAGTCTTGCTATGATATCCAGGCTGGCCTGGAACTCCTGGGCTCAAGCAATCCTCTCCCCCCATCCTCAAGAGTAGGCTTGTGCCACTCTACCTGGTGCCAGCTTTTTAATCTTTATAATGGAAAAGATTAAGCCGGGCTTGGTGGCTCAGCCTGTAATCCGGCGCTTTGAGAGGCTGAGGTGAGTAGACTGCCTGAGCCTGCGGGTTCGAGACCCGCCTGGGCAGCGAAATCTCATCTCTACAATAAATCAAAAAAGTCAGCCGGGCGTGGTAGTGCATGCCTGTAATTCTGGCTACTTGGAAGGCTGAGGCGGAAGGATCGCCGGAGCCCAGCAGGTCGAGGCTGCGGTGGCCACTGCACTCCAGTCTGGGTGACAGAGTGAGACTCCAACTCAAAAAAAAAAAAAATTTAAAAAATAAAAAGGAAAATATTAGAAAAATTTTCATGGTTATTTCAAGGATTAACAATAAAGGTTAAATGCTCAGAAAAAACTGGTCAAAAATGGGGATGGCTTTTCTTGCCTACAGTGACATGGCATGAGACATTGCTGCCCTAGCTTTGAAGTGAAAATGGAATTAAATCACATCCATGCTCCAAAAAAGGGAAACTTTTCTCCAATGATTTGTGGCAGATAGCAATGTAGGATGAACAGGGATTTTCTGAAGCTTCCTCTTCCTCTGATTGCATGAGTCAGGATGGGTTTGGAGTTCTCCATGGATGTAGGTTTACAGGTTTGCTGCTAACAAAAGCGCAATGCTCAGATGTGCCTACGTCAGACACAAGGTGTCACTATCTTCTGAAATGTGGATAACAAGTCCAAACATTACATCAGAAAGCTAATAATTTACATAATTGGAAACTGTTGACTGACACAAGTCATCTCCCTGTGAACGTAAAAAGTGCCAGCTTGGAAAGGTGTTTTACAATCCTGGGTCATTTAAAAAGGAAAAATAAAATAATTTCTTTTGGATTGTAAGGAGATGTTATTGTCGAAAAAAAACCTAGATTTGTTGTGTTAGTATCTGTCTCCTTAACTATTCACCAGATTAATCAGGTTGTTTACTAGTTGTGTGGCATCTCGCAGGATAAATTGAACATGTTCATAAACTCACTGGAAGTTCAGGGTCGGGGAGAAGGCTCTGGGAATATGAGTCAAACTTTCTGGACCAGGTGCCTGTATCCATGAAATAATGAGTGCTCGTCCACAATATATTTGCAATTAAACATATGTGGCAGGAAGAATAGTGTCCCCTTTACATAAGTGGCATTTTATCTGTTGCTAAAAAAATAAGAAACTCAAGAAACCTTTTGATATTTATCAACAAAAAAGTGAAATTATGTGGGATATTTGGCTTGAATATTTCATGAGTTTAAACATCACAGAAAGAAAATGGTGAGGGAGGTCTTTAGGTTCTAGGTAGATACTTAGCTCTTACATGTTTTATTAATTATTATGGCTTATATGACCAATCAATAATATCGCAAGGCAAAATATACCCTTAGGAAGGGGCTTATTTACAACCATAGTATGTATAAGTAGGATACTTCAAGATTATTCCTAGTGATTTTCTTCCTGCCTGCCTTTTGCCCTACCTCCTTCCCTGCTCCTCCTCTCCCTCCTCCCTCTCCTTCCTCCTTCTCCCTCCTCCCTCCCTCCCTTCCTTTCTTCTTTCCTTTCTTCCACTTACTAGGTCTGTTTGAGTTTTCAGTCCCAACTGAGATTAAAACAGCGCCCACAGGAGTAAGAAAATGTCAGTCCTGCTATTTCCCTGTTTGCTTGTGCTTCTTGTATGATCTGCAGGATTTCTTAAGCTAAATGTCTCCTTTCAAGCGTTATTTTAGTAAAAGCTAGATAATTAACTTGAAAGCCCACTTACATGGGCCCCGGCAAAGCTTCAACCTGCTGAAATTGAAGGAACCGTCACTGTGTTCACACAGGCAGACTGAGGTTGCCAGCGATGGTCCACCTCTTAAATGTTAGGAATTCTCAACTTCCTACAGGTTCTACCTAGAAATAGAAACTGAGGTTTCCATGCTTTCCTCCCACACCCCCTGGGGAGTGATGCCCCAGAGGACCTGCTTGGACAGAGCCTGCAAAGGCAGCCTCCTGGAGTGCTTTTCTGTGGACCTGGGGAGGGGGCAAGGGGAGCAGAACTCCTAGCAGTGGGGCTGGAGGCCGATGGCACACAGGTGCCCTCAGTTGTGGGTGTCCCTCTGTCCTGGCTGCAGAACAATCTCCCCACTGCAACGCCTTCACTTGCAGGTTGGGGCATGGAGAGAGCCACAACGTAGAGCTGAAGGGAGGAAACTCCCACTGCAGTGTGTGACACACAGGCAGACACCATTTGTTCGATTTGACAGGAACTCTAGAGAAATGTCCTCCACGGCGCCCTCCCCCACAGACCCAGTGAACGCTTCTGTTGGGCTCTCACACTTGCACAGACAAGGCCCAGGAGTTGGTACCCAGCTTTGTTTTGGGGATGTCCCTTCTTTCCAGCCCCTGACTTCGACTTTCCCTCCTCACCCCCTAGCCTCTCCTGAGAGCCCACTCCACGGTTTCTCTTTCTGATTTCTACCTCCTCTCCCAACTCTGTTCCCTGGAGTATTGGGATCTGTTGACAACTTGTACTGTCAGCCCTTCCATGCCCAGAATTTTAAACCAGATTTGAAATCCCATGG